ACCGACTGCGCGGCCACGCCCGCGCCGATCTCGATGGCGAACATGGCGAGGTTTACCGCCAGCGCGATCCACAGGATGCGCCGGTAGGCGGGCGAGGACGCCGCCGCATCGGCGTGCTCATGACCATGATCGTGGCAATGGGCGCTCATGTCAGTGCTCCGCTATGTGAGTGACCATGTCCTCGACCATGCGGCGGACATGGAGATCGTCGGCCTCGTAGTAGACCTGCTTGCCCTGCCGGTCGGCCCGCACAAGGCGTGCGCCCTTCAGGAGCCGCAGGTGATGACTCACCAGCGAGACCGAGAGGCCGAGCCGGTCGGCTATGTCCGACACCGCAAGCGGTGTGCGCAGGCAGGAGACCACGATCTTCAGCCGGGTCGGATCGCCCAGCAGGCGGAACAGGTCGGCCAGCGCTACCGCGTGGTCGTCGGACAGGAGGGTCTTTCTTGGATCTGGACATTTGAATAACTGTTCAAATGTATGATTGAACGCAGAGCCTGTCAACCCGCCGGGTTTGTTACGTTATCTTCTCCCGCGGCCGACCGATCGCGATGTCGCAAACAACGGCCGCGACGACGATGACGCCGCCTGCCAGCGTGGCCGGTGCCGGAGCCTCGCCCAAGGCCAGCCAGACCCAGAACGTGCCCAGCGGCGTCTGCAGCACGCCGATCAACGCACCACGCGTCGCGGAAACCAGCGGCGTGCCCAGCGCCAGCAGCAGGAGGCCGAGCCCGAACTGGCTGGCGCCAAAGAGCGCGAGAAGCAACAACTCGCGGGTGCTTACTGCCAGCGGCTTGGCGAAAGGCAACACGATCAGCGCGCACAGGAACGCCGAAAGCCCGACCGCCGGCAGCATGCTGACGCCGGGATTGCGCCGGATCAGCACCAGCACGAGCGACATCAGCACGACCATCCCGAAGGCCAGCACGTTGCCCGGCAAGCGTCCCCCCGCTTCCGCCGCTCCCATCATCACCGCAACGCCGGCCACGGCCGCAAGCGTCGCGGCCAGCGTGATCCGGTCCTCGTGTTCGCGTAGCACCAGCCACGCCATGCCCGCCGTCACGAAGGGGATCGTGGCATCGATCACCAGTACGTCGGCAACCGTCGAGAGGCGCAGCGCATTGAGGAAGCATACCGTCGCCAGCGCCGAGCCGAAGCCGATCAGCATGCCGTCGCGACCGATGGCGAGTACCGCCTGCCCCACCCGGCCGCGTTCGCGCCACGCCACCATGCCGGCGAGGAACAGCCCGCCGAACAGGCCGCGCCAGAACAACATCGTCCAGGCGTCGAGGTCGATCAGCCGCGTGTACAAGCCGGCGCTCGAATAGGCGGCGGCCGACGCGCCGAGGAGCACCGTGCCGACGACAGCGTCCCTAGTTCGCGAGCGCGACACAGTCGATCTCGAGGTCGAAGGGACCGAACCAGCCCGCCGTGCAGACGAAGACCCGCGCAGGCTTATGGGCGCCGAAGTACTCGGCATAGACGGTGTTGATGATCGCGAAGTACGCCGGGTTCGAGCAGTAGACGTTGCACTTCACGACCCGGTCGAGCGCCGAGCCTGCCGCCTCCAGGCAGGACTTCAGATGGTCGAGCACACGCCGCGCCTGCGCGTCGATCGGCAGGATGTCGTAGGCGCCGGTCTCGGG